ATTGATGTGCTTGTGGTTGTGATCGTAATGTGGCCCACGAAATTAATCGATATGATTATACTGCCTTCTTACAACATATCGATTGATTCACTGCTTCTCAAGAGACTTAAGGAAAACCAAAATCTCAGTTTTAGGTACAATATGGGTTTAGTGATCAACGTGTGTATCGACTAGTTGGCCTTATCGATAGTATACCGACTATAGATTTGGTAGCAATTCAATAATTAAATCCATAATAAAAAAATGGCTAAGCATGTTTTAGCTCGAACTTGAAGGGAACACAACGGCTGTACGTCAACTCCGGCACGGCGTTATAACTTCGAAATGTGGAAATGACGCTATACTGGATGTACGTGTCATTTATACGACTTATAACCATTGTTGATTTCACACAAACATAACACAAGTCGCTTTACTCAAGATTTGCTTGCGGATGTGGGCCAAAACCAAAAAAATCAAACGAAAGTGCAAGAATAAGACCTTCCTCTGTGTAACAATTCTGTTGCTTGTCATTTCCTGAAATATTTGCTTTTTAGGGTGACCGCGAATTCTACTGTGCAAACCTTGAAGGATCCCCATTCTCTGTGGTTATTGTAAATTCTATCAAACGTCAGACGTTAGTATATACAGACAAAGTAGAAATGATGGATACCACAGACAACCCTCTTGTCACCTACTACTTATCCAGCAGGTTAAAAATACTTACACTTTGCATCTTCAGTTGAAAAATGGAATAATCTTGAAGTTGATTCACTTGGAAAACGTACCATGACCAAGCTTCAAAAATGAATGTGTGAAATAAAAGTCAAAAATCTCAAAGCAATTTCGCAACGTTTCAACTCAAGCAGTTGTATATGAAACCATGTGATCCCAATGTCTCGGGGCATTCAAATTGACGTTATAAACCAAAAAAAAGGAGTGAGATTCATGAAATATGCAGCAAAGCTTTTCTGGTAAACAATTTTGAGTACTCTTCTTCTATTAAAACGTTTTTAGATCAATTTGTGATTGGAAGCTAGACCCACTTCCAGCCACAGACCGATTCAATGTGCTCCAGGGTGTTGCTTGTGAGGAAGACCTCAGCTTGCATTATGCATTGATAAATGCGCTGAAAAAATGGGCGGAGTCATGGCCCGAGTACGGTAAGCCAAAAGATTTTTAAAACTTTATTTATTGTTTATAAATTCTGAAAAAATGAATATTATGTCTCTTGTCAATGAATTTATTAGCTCTTCGTTATATTAGGAATTTGTGAATTTATCCTTCTGAATCATGAGAGATTCAATATCTCAACCAGATTGATTTCCGTTTGTTCGAAATTTGTACCAAAAGATTACAGTAATTTCTGAAAGATTTTTCTATAGTTCTGCTAACAAACCGGATACGATATTTTTTAGATATGAGCGCAAACTTTTCCTGTGAAGATTTACCGCTACCATTCGAGTTTCCTAAGCAATATTTCATCAACGCTTTCGTTCACACTCGTAACCAGATCGAAGTCTTCTTCCCACACTGGTTAGTAACACGCTTGCTTCGGATTTCGTAATTCTTTGGCGAAACTTCAAATTAAATAATCTTTTCTAGCACGAAATCCTACATGAAAGATGTTATAATGAAATTTGACGAGGAACGAGCTGATAAGGAAAACTCTGCTGGACTGCTACAGTTCACAGTTAAAAATGACGTCATTGTCGCATATCGATCGATTATTGATCAACGCAACAATCGATTGGCTGTTGTTGGAGTACAGTGGAGAATGCCGTATGCAAACGAGTTGTTTGGAAATTGGACTCGATCAAGCAAGCAATGGTCTGATTGTAAGAAGGTACAAATAAGTCATTAAACTATCCCTCAACTTTAAAGTAGGGTCACCCACCCGTTACTTCCTTTTATATTTGAGCTTCCCTCTTCTTTGTTTCTCTCAAAAAATGCCCAAAAATACACTGTAGCGATTTTAGTAATTTTACATCAAAGCTCTTTATAATAATTAAGAATGGCAAAGCTGTAATTAGTCAGCCATGGTCCCCTCTTCCTTAATTGGTCCGAACTAACTATCATAATTTGACTGGCTACAGTAATCATTGCAGATGGACTGTCTTATTATAACAAGAAGCGGTTTTGTGTTGGCTTCGTCAACAAACAGACGTCCTGCACCATTAGCTCGGTTTGATCCACAACTATTCGCCAGTCTTGAGGAGAATAACCTCGTAACTACGTGAGTATCCAATGTCGCTGGCGCCGCCATTTTGTTTAACCTACGATTTTAGCACCACGTGGGTCGACGCACAAGCTGAATGTATGGCGAGTCGCGCAGCACCATGGTCCAGCCCTGCGCCAAATCGTATGAATCCATTTAGAACAGTGCTTGATGCTGTAGCGACACTTATAGGAAAGACTTTCTGGTACG